GTCCTTGTAGCTGCTCGATAAGATGTCTTCCTTACAAGAGCAAGACCTTCGATGGAGGACACACGGGATGGACTTTCACGTAGATGCATGACATTGTGCTAGGCCGTACGAAACGGTGGAGCATCCCGAGCTCCGACTAGCTGCCACTGGCCATGTCGTAGATGCTACAGATCCGGACATAGATGAGAGACTGCTTACGAGGAGACGATGAGGAGCATGAAAAACAACGTGAATGAGATCAAGATAGAAGATTGAAGAGATTCTCGACAAGGTTAACAACCTACTCGACTGATCTTGTTCCAATCCTGATCGAAGCAACGTAAGAGGAGGAGGAGGAGGAGGAGGAGGAGGAGGAGGAGGAGGAGGAAGATGATGAAGCTGATGTTGTTGATGAGCAGAACATATGGATGTTGTTGATGATTCAGACAATGATGATGATCAGGGAGACGAAGATGTGATGGAGGTGGAGATGATGATATGGACGATGGAGAAGGACGTCATGAAGATGATGGAGATGATGGAGATGATGGAGATGATGGAGATGATGGAGATGATGATGGAGATGATGGAGATAATCATTATGTATCAGGAGCTGTGATGCAAGGAACAATCACATGAATAGCTGAAAGGGGGACAATTATAAAGCAGAGAAGAAGCGAAGGAGGAGGAGCGCAGGCGGGAGGAAGGAGGTGTGCTTGGTGTTGTCGTCTAGAGCGACATGAAGTCGCAAGCTTCTCTGTCTGTAGCGCAGGTGGTAGAGGAACTCACGTCTCAGGACCCTTCGGTTCGCCTTCAAGCTGCTAGACGAGTGAAGCATGGAGTCATTGGGAACCAGGGCAGGAAGTCGCTCTACTGCAAGGCAGGAGCGGTCAACAAGCTCCTCCTCCTCCTCTCCTCCTCCTCTACTGTAGTTGCACAGCAAGAGGCTCCCGTACTCGACGAGTTGGTGGCTGAAGCAGCGGCGGCTCTGGGTAGCTTGGCGTATGGCAGCTGGGCTCGTGCTCGGCTGATCCTGGAGGAGGGCGCAATGCCGGCGATCCTTTCCCTCCTCTCGCTCGCTCACCCTCGCGCCGCCTCCTCCCTCGTCCGGACCCTCCGCGTCCTCTCTGAGCTAGATCCCAGCGAGAGCTCTCAACGGTTTTGGAGCTCCTACCCCTCCTCCTCCCCCTCCCCCCCCTCCCCCCTCCTCCTCCTACGTCTCGACGCTCCTCTGCTTCGCGGATGGAAGCGAGGAGGATCTTGCATGCAGCGCACTGACAGTGCTGGCGCGTGTGAGCCGGAGGAAGGAGCATCAGCGAGTGCTCGCGAGAGGAGGCGCGTGGGAGGTCGTGCTGCGACACCTGCATGGCTCGCACAAGAGGAGGGAGGGGACGCTGGAGCTGCTGGCGGCCTTGACGCGCGACAACGAGGAGGAGACGCGGCGGATGCTGCGGACAGAGGAGACAAGCCTGCCTGCCCTGCTGCCCCTCGTGCTTCATGAGCGACCCTTCACCCGCCTCTTCGCCTGCGTCTGCATCATACAGGCGGTGAGGGAGGGGGAGGAGGAGAGGAGGCGGGAGCCGACACAGCTCTCTCTCCTCCTTCACACGACCCTCTCCCTCCTCCGCGAGCCCCACAAGCTCTTGCGCGAGAGAGCGACGGAAATTGTTCGTGACCTGCTGGAGCTCAAAGACGTTCGAAGTCTCTTCCTCCTCTCCGGAATGACACCTCTCCTCCTTACGCTGGTGCTACTCCTAAACCCTAAACCCATTCCTCCTCCTCCTCCTCCTCCTCCTCCTCCCCCTCCTCTCCCTCCCTCCCTCCCTCCATCCACCACCATCTCCTCCTCCCTTATTCTTTCTCCCTCCTTCCTCCTCCCTCCCTTCTTCCATTCCTCTCCCCTTCTCCTTCCCCATCGTCCTCTATTGACGCGGCTTCAGGCATGCGGGGAGAGCGCGACGGTGAAGGAGAAGGAGAACATCCTGATGGCGTTGGGGGCCCTGGCGTCAACGTCAGAAGCTACTCGCTGTGAAGTGAGAGAAGAAGCATGATGATGATGATGATGACAATGGAGATGATGATGATGATGATGATGATGATGATGATGATGATGATGATG